ATATGAAAGCAAAGAAGGACTTTTAGTCCAATTTTACACAATCCGAAGAACAGGCCTCACTTATCCATTGAACTTGACAAAGTCTTGCTTCCAAAAAGTTGTCAGCATTCAGTCCGAAAGGGACTGCAGTTTCAACCTCGTCTAAACCGGTCTCATCAACGCTCCCAGCGGGACTCGAGCACGTTGGTAAACATGTCGAGACGCTACGCTGCACTACTCAGGCTCGAGTTCTGCCAAGGGTTGTTGATTAGACCCAGGAGAGGTGAAAACTGCAATCCACCTCAGTCTGGATGAGAATACCACTTAGAAGCAGGGCTGTGTGAGCGCCACTCAATTCAACTACCATCAGCTTGAACGAAACAGAGTGAATAAAGCGTTGTCAGTCTTAAAAGACTAATTTTAGGTGGAAACTAAGAAATGTTATAGTATAGAAAAGGCTGAGGATTCCTTGAAATTCACATCTGCCCTCCGACTCTAAGGGCACTCGAGACAGTGTGGCTTGGTCAGTGACGCGTCGAGATTATACGTTGCGCTACCACAACCCTGGTTCGAGTTCCGCCGGGGGTCGAAACTGAGGTCCACTCATGCTGGGAACCAAGGCTATGTGGATTTTAATTGAAGCATTATGGCAAAGTTACACTGTCCTTTTTTTATCTCCTTAAACGAAATGGTAGGGATACAATAAATGCAAAAGTTCCGTTGCAAGTAGAGTGCTCGGTGTGTGCCGACTGTTCGATTGGTAGGAGAAATTGGTTGAAAGAAATTCGTAAATTTGCTTTACCGAAAAATCTGGACGGATGATTTTCCTGAAGTAAACATTTTCGGATTAAGTGAAGAGTCATCAGTTCATCGTCTTTAACTTTGTCATGTGACTCAATTTGAGACAAATTTCATAAATATACTATATTCGTATGTAAGTAGGGTTTCGAGACTACCAGTAAATCAGTGTAATGAGATGTATTAACCCTATTTCGTGTAAGGTGATGAAGGACTGGTAAAAGAAAAATTTTCCCACAATGATATGAGTTGAGCTGACGTTTCCATTGAATTTCACATAGCCTTGCTTTCCCAAAAATTGTTTCGAATCCCGCTGAGGGTGTTGATAAGACCAATGCGAGGTCGAAACTGCAGTCCACTTCTGTCTGAATGAGAACAACTTTTGGGAAAGCAAGGCTATGTTAAATTCATTGGAAACGTTAACTCAACTCATCATTGTGGGAAAATTCTACTACCATTCCTTCATCACCTTACACGAAATAGGGTGAATACATCTGTAAATATACTAAAGCAAAAGAAAAGGTCTCTGGGGATGTCTGTCACGTTACAGTCATCGTAGTCAAGAATTCCTCGCAAAATCCAACTGGCCAAATTGACGAATTCCTGCAAAACAACTTTTCCTTTCGACTGAAAAGTCGAGTCACATTAAATGTGTTAAGGATTCTTTTCATAATTCTCGGTGCATGTAGGCACATTTGTGTTTCCGACGCTTAAACAGAGCTAATATTTTCGTCAATCTGTGTCAATCGAAATACCTTCAAGAATAGTAACAGCAAAACAAAGTCTCAATGACGCTTTTTCAGATGATAATGTAATGTAATAATGTAGAAAAGTTTGTTAGTAATATCATCTATCTTAAGAGACACAAAACAGTCTATCTCAATTCAAAACTGGATACATTTTCTTGATTGCTATTGCGATTTTCTACATGTCACCAATCTGCCACACTACCACGAGTTGCTGGGGCTAAGAGGTCGGATATGACTTTTAAGGCAAGCCGTATCACCAGGACCCAAATATTGTGTGATTTCGGTTAGTCGTAAACTTTTCCCAAAAACTGGGTTACATCATTTACTTGATCACATTATGTACTTAAGCATACATTCGTTCATACGGCCCTCCTTTTCTGGCACAATATCCCACAGCCAAGATGGCCATGGCCAGAAAAAGTTCGATTTGGACTCCCAGGATGAGGCGACAACAACAGATAGCGAGGATTACGATGACGATACGGAGACGTTCCGTGAAGACAAGGGTAAAAGTAAAGAATACGATGGTGACACGAAGCTCCCGGAGACAATGGCAAAACCAATCGGCCAGCAGAGGGCAGGTGGTTTGGACTCGAACGCGCAAGTAGGCCCTCCAGGCGGTGCGGTCAAATTCGACCTACTCCCCCGAGTGCCTAAAGAGGAGATGGCTGAGGCAGACTGGTGGTCGCGATGGTATGCAACGCTAGAGGATCACGAGGAGCAACTAAAAGATGCAAGAAATACCATTTTATTCAAATAATGTATACTACTTTTCAGTATTTAAGTAGCATCATAAATTTACTATTATTTATTAAAATTCACATTATTTTATGATTATAGTTATTCTGCTTTGTTGTTCCATTGTTATATCTATTTCTGAACACTTTGATTAACCAGGAGTAT